GAGATGATTACGTTATTATTCGAAGTTTTTGGTAGAGGATTTGATTGTGAGGCTTTTGTTTCTGTTGCGCACAGGATGCTTCTTTCATTTTTTATTGCTTTGGTGAGTTTATTGAGCTTTGCTTTTTATGTGAGTCCTCTTACGTTGAGGGTTGCAATGTTAATAAGATTCTTTAGTGATGGGTGGGGTTTATTAAAAGAGAGTTGCAAGTTGGATGGGTTTGTATTCATCATTAAATAAGTTTGGGAAGAAGAGTCATCGCTGGTTCAGGTAACTCTGGTTCGGTTATGAATTTGGGGGAAGTCTGGTAAAGTGGAAAATTTTATTCAAAGATTTGATGTTGTTGTTCAGATGAATGTTGTCTATCAGGGGTAGTGTAATATTGGCATTGGTTTCAGCAAGATATTTGATAACCTCGGCAAGGTTTGGTAGGTCTGGTAATAGAGGAATAATTTACTCTCTTGGGATTTCTCCCATGTATTTGTTTCTGATTTTTGTGATGGTTTGTTTAAAGTCAGGGGGTTCTCTGTTCATTTGTTCTTTAGAGATGTCCAATTCGACTTCAACTGTGCTGAACTCGTTTGGTATTCTAGGTTTGTTGGACTGGATAAGACTGTCCTTGATCCATTCTGATCTGAGAGGTAGTTTGATAAAGAATTTGTGCTTTAGGTCCTTGATGAGTTCGTCAGCCTCTTCCTGAGTAATAATTGGTAAGGGAATAGAGTTGTTTTCACTATACCAATGAGAGGGTGAAAGTGGGCGTTTTACTTTGATGTAGTCGAGTGAAAGTTGTTTTACTGCATAGTTGTTATCTCTGAGAAGTTGAATTCCTCTTTTGAAGTCCTCAATACTGTTGTCAACAGGGAAGTATTTGGCAATATATGTTGACAGATCTTTATATGTTGGTGGAAGTTGGAGCTTAGGTGGGGTAGGTCGAAATATGAGTCAGGAAGTTTGCTTGGCATATAATAGAATTCTTTAAGCTTGTCAACTCAAAACTTTAGGTCTGCAAGTTCACTTCTTTCTGTAAGTGAAAAAAGATATTCTGTTTCTCTGTTAAGATCTAGGGGGTCTGTTGGGAGATCTGGTCTTTTTGCGAAGTATGAGGTGGGCAGTAGGTCAAAGTTGTAAAATGTTCTGAGACTACTTGCGACGTCCCGAGTGTCACTGGCCTTAGAAATTGAAATCATTTTAGGGAGTCTTACTTTATCGATATGGGGATATCCTTTAGGTCCTCAGGGAGTTCTGATAAGTTTTTCTGAATCATGGCTTCACAAGTTTGATAAAGTTCTTGGTAATCGACTTTTTCCAAAGATGGATCCATGAAGAAGTTGAACCCATATTCTAGTAGTTGGGCTACTTGTCAGTATTTGAGAAGGTTAAGGTCTGTAGATCTAAGGTATGCTATGAACAGGGTCTTGTTAATCAGTTTTCTTATTTTGTGCTTGATTGATCTTGTTATATAGCCCAGGTTGTTAGCTTGATAATAGTTGGAGTGGAATTTATCTTTGATAGATTCGTATTCTTTTTGATGTTGTCTCTTGATTAACTCATCCTTGGCAAATGTTCTGAAGAAGTCTTGGTCTCTGTATTTGATTTTTGCAAAAATACCTTTCAATGTCATCCTAGGGGTGCCAGTTGTGTCAGCTTTGATTTTGAGAAAGAGACTGACAATGTCTTTGGAAGTTCTGTTACAGTTGTTGAATTCTTCGCATAACTTTAGTATTTTTTCTTGTTCATCAGATAATGTATTGTCTCTAATGTTGTTTGTACTGATGGGTGTATTATTTTGTGTTGATTCTAGTGCTTTGTTAGTTTCATCTGCCCAGGAGTTGGGAAGAGATTTCAGAGTTTCCACTGATTGGGTGGGAGAGGAGTGGCCATCAATTTTCATATTTGTTATGGCTGGTTGTCCTGAATCCTGTGGTGAATGATGACAGGCTATGCTGTGTCCTTGAATGATGTGTTGTGCTGTGGGATGTTCGTTTGATGTTGCGCCAGTATTGGATTGATCGTCACTGTGCTCAGGGGATGCTGCATGAGGGCTGGACTGATTAGCATTGTGTTCGGAAGTACTTGCATGAGTTTGGTAATAATGATCATATTAATCTTTTGAAAGAGATAAACTATCTGTTTTTTTTTTGAAGAACCATGGAAGAGAGAAAATTTTCTAAAGCCTATATTCTAAGAAATGTTATCACTTCTTAATATAGTCCTTGAGAGAAAGAAGTTAACTGGCCAGAAAAGTGATGTTATAAAGACAGATTTTTCAAAAGAAAGAAAGATCTAGAGAGAAAAATCTTCAGAAAAAAGAAAAAATCTAGCTTTGGCAGAAAAAATGGAAAAAGAGAAAGGAAAGATATAAAATATAAAAAAAATATATATATAGAAGAGAGAGAAGATAGGAAGAGGGAAATAAAGAGATATAAGAAGGAAAACATAAAGAAAAGGAGAAGGGAAAGACAAAGAAAAAAGTAAACAACTCAAAAATTTCCTAAAAAGAAAATTTTTAAGTGTAGAAGAGAGAGCGTGAAAGAGTTTTTTTTCTATTTAGAAAGCTTTTCTTTAACTTGTTTAAGTAATATTGTTAGGAATTCTCCTATTTTATTTGTTTTCCAAAGTCTTTTCTATGGTTTCAAAAATTGAAATCAAACAGAATTGCATGAGGTTTAGAATATTTTTAAAAATGATGGTGAAATATATCTTATCTATTAAATTTAATATAAACTTGAGAATCAAATACAGAATCAAAGAGAATTATTAAGATCCTTAGGTATAATTAGTCTGTGGCTAATTATATTCGAATGATTTTCCAAGTTCCTGTTCATTGAATAACAGATAAAAACTTAGAGATATATATTCTGGCAAGTTAGTTCTTTACCTATACTATTAGAACTTTAGCATTAATAATATATGAGGCATAAAGGATAACAAGCCAACCAATAGGTAGTGTATTCTATCTTAGGTAGTTTAGAAAATAGATAAAATCTGACATCTGTTGCAAAATATATAAAAGCACTTATTCAACAAACAAGGTATATGCCAGTTGTCAAAAAAAAATTTTTTATATAAAGAAAATAACAATATCTCTCAAATGTCCAATTGATTAGTAAGTTTAATCTTCTAGCTTGTATATCTAATAAAAATCGCATGCATCTAATGCCCTTAGCTAATAAAACTAATTCTAGCCGGGCTCGTAATAAATTCTAATTTGACTATAATTCTGATCTAGTGATCTGCATAATTTTGGTCAATCATCCCCGACATTTTTTAACCATAGTGACATGTGATCGTTATCTGATTGACGTGAATCGATCAACAAAAAAATTTTTTTTTCACTACTATTATTAAGGCAAGTTGGAAATCAGATTACTTCTGGCGACCCACAATATCTGACACCTGTATGGCAGGGCGAGATTTACCTTACGATCTAGTTAATTCCTGCGGCTGTTGTTTAGAGCAAGGCGTAGGCTACCCTCTTTGACCCTTTGTTCATTCGCTGAACTTACCTCATTGTAGATCACGCCTCCGTTCTTGTCTCTAGTATATTGGATGTAATACTTCCTACACCTGCAGGGCGAAGCTTAACACTTGCGTTATGTAACTCTCTGTGGCTGATGCTTGGTAGAAGAGTTGCGGAGGTACCCTCTTTGACCCATTGTCTCGAACAATCCTCATTGTTGATCACTCCTCCCGCTCTCTACCAGAAGCCTTACATCAAGCCAGTATTTTGTGCCTGTTCGTCTTGCATTTTTCTTTTGTCAATGCTAACTATGATTATTATGTACCCTAGATGAATTTTGAAAATCATATTAGAGATTACTTTCAGTTAAACGATTGCTTAGAATGGAGTGTATTAGAAGTCCTACGCTACATATCAGATAACGTTAACTTTACAAGTGAAAATTTAAATGATATTAAAAACAATTTTATCGAATCATAAATGTCTTCGGCTGGCGGCATAAAATAAGGCTATCAAGCTTCTTGAAAACCTGCCAAGAAAACTAAGACGAAAAGATTTATTAAAGTTCCTTGAAAATCAGGACTTGAAATTTGCTGAGGTTAGTAATACCTATCTATTGTGTGTATTTTACGATTAATGATCAACTTTTGATGTATTATCATAGGGTCGATATAAAGTCAATGTTGAATTAAGTGTTGTTACTGACAAAACGGCCATGACAGGAAAGACTACCGAAAAATTTGTAAGAGTAAGTAATAAATTCCTGGAAAATAAACCAATCAGATAATTTTATTGAGATTTCTTGATATACTCTAGTCTTTGAATAACGATCATGACATCAGGGACTCAGACTACTGTTAATAATGAACAAAATAAACAGGAAGAGAATGAAGGCGGAGATGTAGTTGCCGATGAAAGTAGTGTTAGTAAGATTTATCTCTGGTAATATTTTTTGTTGATATTTTAGGAAAAATAATGATTTTTCTATTTTCTATAGACGATGTGTGTTAAGGATATCCTTGAAGACTCGATTCAAGTTTCATCTGTCATAAAGGAAGTTACAAAAATCTTTTTAAGTCAATATCCTAAGACATCTATAATGGACCTACGTCCAAAATCTAAATTTTTCATTATTTCTGGATTTGGAACTTTAAAAAACCATTTTGCACGAAGTTTTTGACGAAATTGACAACTATATTACTGATGATATCCACGAATATCTTACGTCGTTTTTCAATGAATATTTCACTGCGCAGGGTTGGGATAATGCCATCAACAATATGGATTTTAATAGATGTGATTCAGAAAACTTAAAGAATATTAAAAAATTAATACAGGAAACTTTACCCAAATTGTAAGGGCAAGAGAGAACTTACGCAACTTATTATAGTAATATTTGTCCAATTTACTATCCATTTTTTATTCGTTTTAGTTTAAAGGCGTTTTCATTGGGGGATCTTAATCCTTTGAGGGATATTACAATCCTGGAGAAACCGCATCTTAATCAGTTTGTACACCCTATAATTGATTCGGCATTGTGGAATTTTGCCAAGGTTAATTACATATTGTAAGTAGATTTGAACCTATGTTTATCTACATAAATTATATTATATAGTGGTGAAATTCCTCTGAAAGGTCTTGGAACTAGAATACGGGCCGATGGAGTAGGATTTCTCAATGACGTGATAAACTATCCTATAGTTTGTGGTGAGGGAACTAGACCGGGTGCACCGCAGAAAAAAAGCGTGGATGATGATATCAAGAATGCAAGTAGTATGGCAGTATTATATAATAATATTGTCATAGAAGAAGCTGATGTACGCCGACAACTTTTTAAAGACTTAAGAGTTTATGGTTTAACTGCATTTAAAACCGAATTGTCACTAACAATGATGGATTTTAGAAGTAGGCATTACATAAATTTATATTAAACCGCTTCATATAATGAGGAAGTTAATCATTCAATTCCAGGTGTACATAGGTTATTCGAGGTTGATCATTTCTGCCTACCGAAAAACTGGGTTGATATGCCAAACTTTGTGTGGTTATATGAGGCAATAGTCAAATGGGCTGTAAGTACTTACATGCTTTCATTATCTATCTGCATTTTATGTGCTTATTAAATTAACAATGGCATTTTTTGTAAATATAGCTATGTATCAATTCAACACGAAATGGATGATCGAGCACAGAAAGAAAAGAAGGGTGAGCCGATACTCTGAAGTTGGTATCGCAAAAAAATTAGCACCATTAAGGGATCAACATGAATAGGCTTGATTATTTTGTGTTGAGGTTAAAATATTAGTATCTTATTTCGGGAATCTGATAGTCAGACTATGTAGAGGGTATTTCTTTTGATCTAGTAGATTCACGTTTTGCTCGATGCAATTATGTTTTGTTCAGTGTTCTCTTGATAATTAATAAAATCGACAATGTTCCAGAAGAACTTAACTATATATGGTATTTGTAATACCAAACATACCTTAAAATAATTCTTTCTTGAGTAGATCCCGCTCTTGCAAAATTATTTGGGTCACTTCTATGAAAAAATTCGTGTTGCACTCCTTGAACTTTTATTCAAAAACCGCGTGCGCCAAGAAAAAATATTAATATCTGATGATAATATACATGTAAAACTAAACACGATTAATTATACGAAATCAAGCCAGCTTTATAACTCCTCACGGTAAGAAATAAAATACGAAGAAAAATGTCTATCCCTTTATTGATACAAAAATATATGGGCACGGATAATACATGATAAAAAAGTGACTTTGACGCTAGCTCCGCTATCTAGCGTTTTGAATACGGCGTTTCTTATTTTTATGCTTATAGCACATTGAAATTCTATTCCTTAATAACCTACGATCACACCAATTACTGTTTTAACGCCTTTTCTAATCGATTCAAGGTCCCCCTTCAATGCCGTTTTGGATAAATTAATTTGATATTCACTTTTACTGGTACAATATAACCCTTCCGTGGCGAGTTTAATAAAATATCATACAGTAGCTAGAAAAAAGATAATCAATCGAAGATAGGTTAACGCCAGAAAACATATAACAAATATTTTATAGGAGAGATTAACTTTGCTATACCTATTCCATCGAATATGCCTTGAAATGCATATCATTCGGGGTGCGACAAAATATCCTGCGTGTCCTACTTGCAAAACCGGTATTGAGATTTTTAGAGAAGAAACCGCACTTGCTTCTGGAGAATGTGGAGTGTTGCCCTGCCTTCTCGCAGTAAGTGCTCGAAGCCAGATATTAAATTAGTTACCTTTTTTTCTATCTTCGATTGAATCTCAATACAAAGCTAACTGCATATCTTTTTCCGAACTTGGCTAACGTAATTATCGATGATAATGGCGAATTGGAGATTATGCGAAATATGGGGTTGATAGAAGAGGACTCCGCTACAGCTGAGAAAATAAAACCGGTTAATACAAAGGACCGTGAAACGAGCTAGATTGTAAACATTCCCGTTACGTTGCATGAGCAGGCTATAAGCCATATTGGCAATGAAAAGGGTACAAATAACTTGGTGCAAGTCAATACAACCGATCAAACTGATACGAATGATACCATCGTGCAGGATCAATCCACAAGTAAATGGAGTTACATCACTGATTCACAATCTCGAACGTCTCGACAGGTATCTCCCAAGATTTCTCGTGAGCAGGATAAATTTCAGGAATTATTGCAAGTTATCTACACCTATCAAAGGGAGCCTACCGAAACTAATAATAATGAGGAAATAGAGGGTTCGATTTCGCACGGTTTAGCACGATTATATCAAAAGGCAATGAAGGCCGGATAAAAGCCATATTATTATGCTAAGACAGAGTAAAGGAGCTTTTCTGAACAAATAACCTTGCCGATCGGATCATGCCAACGTGATCATCATGTGACTTATGGTGCAGTACATTGTTATTGTATTGTTATACACACCCCTATCATAATTTATCAAAAAAATTATTACATCATTTTTTTTAATGACATGTAAAAAATAGAATAAACAATCATAAGATTATTAGTTGTATATTGAAAATGTTTAAATTAAAAAAGAAGCATATTGTTTGGAACAATTGTTTTTTTTATAAATTATAGTAAGTATTTTTGAAGTTTTAACAAGTTCTATAACAATACTATTAATAAAGTAAGTAATACAAAGTATACACATTGCTGAAATTCATAGATCCTGATACAATTGATACAATTATTATTTTTTTCTTTTGTGAGTGGACATTAAATGTGAAACTTTATTTAAATAAAAATATATATTGTCATTACATTAACAATCTCTATCAAGACAGATTAATTGTAGCCTATCGCAGTAGGTGACACATAGAACTCAAAACCTCTCATGGGGAAAAAAAGAAAAAGGCAGATAAAAACTAGCTACTAGTTATTTTATCAATTACTTATGTGTGCTTGCTAAATATTAGTGGTAAAAAAAAATATAATTAGATAGGAAGAATTGAGTTTTAATATATCGAGCCTAGTAACCAGTTGTATTGTAGTGATACAGCCTGTAAGTCTTTCTCTTGTTAGGGGCCTTGATTTTAATAAGGCACAATCTTTTTATGCCAATGCTTTGGAAGAGATAAACTGACTGCAGTTTTTTGTGATAATTAGAAATTGGAAAAATAAGACAAAAAAAGCATTACATGCAAGGTTGTCTTGAATATGTGATAATATTGATGAAGACAGAATCCTTAGAAAAAACACTTGTCCAAATGCATACCTCTAATCAAATATTTCAGGCAGGATCAGGGTTCAATTATATAAAACCTTATTCATATGATCTTTTATACTTGCTAAGTTACCATATTTAACTATATGCCTAAATTTCTTCTCACACTTGACAGGCTTTGATGTGTTATATGGTAACTATAGATAGAAAAATCTTGGTATTTGACAAAAATTTAAATCCAATTCTCAATCAAAATACTGTCGCTAAGATTTTTTCTTAATTAGATACTTTGGAGTTAGGAATAAGAACCTTCTGGAGAAGTTTACATTTCTTGAAAAAACTTTTATCAACTAGTCTCCAAAGGAGTATATTTGATTAAGATAGTGTCACTGCTTTGTCTTGGGATTGATAAAATAGTTTGGTAGAAAAGAAAGAAAGACCTAGAAAGAAAACCTCTAGAAAGAAGAAAAAACTGTTCGTTGACAAGAAAAAGAAATAAAAAAAAACAAATTACTGTTTTGCTTATGATGACCAGTTGTATACAGAGCCACATTTTATCAGAAGAAAGCATCTCCATACTTTTTTCCTTTGATCTTTGACTTTTGCTATACACAGGTCTTGATCTGCTCACGTTTTTCTAAGCAAAAAAGTATCTTTTAGATGTGTCTCTTTCAGCTTTCTGAAATACCACCTCTCTGAGTAACAGAGCCTCATATGATGTCAGTATATTTCAGATTATAGTTCTGAAAATTGGAATCGAATAGAATCAAACAGAATCGCATGAGGTTCGGAACACTATTAAAAATGATAATAAGGTATACCCCACCTATTAAATTTAATATAAACTTGAGAATTGAATATAGAATCGAAGAGAATCATTAGGATCCTTATCTCAGACTCTATATAGCCATATGGTTTCATCTTTTAACAAGAGAAAGAAAGAATAAGAGGGAAAATTTTCTAAAAAAGAAGTTTTCTGACAAAGTTGAAATGAGTAGAAAAGAGTTTTTTTTATAATTGATACAATTAATTAAGGCAATTAATTGAGTTATTATTAAAACATATAAATAATTGAATTATGATATAATTATTTTTAAGGATTTTGAGAATTGAGTCAACAGCAAATAATTTATACCACATGTATAATACAAAGTATAGTATACAAGTAATATAAATAAATCAATAGAAGAAGCAATACTATAGAAATACAATGGTTCAATTTATATCTCTCTAAAATATCTGAAACTTAAAATATCTTGAGTTTATTATTCTTTATTATTTATTGTTTTACTTTATATTATATTTATATAATCTCTAGAGAATCAATAAGATTATATGTACTATTTTAAACTTGTATTTCTACTTTATTTATTTATATTAGAAAAATATGTATATAAGAAATATTTTTTTTTTTGAAAAATAATAGAGTTGTCTAATTTCTTTTATATTTAATAAAGTTTTTCTTTTTTTTTTTTAAGGTGTAAATGCGGATCCGCAGTGTTTTTATTGATAAGTACCTTATACCAATTACATATGCAGCGTTAGGACTCATACAAGTCAGTACATTATA